AGGCATACCATACTCACTGCCATGCTTACCTTTCGGTTGGGCACCTTTGTCCTCCTTCCCATTGGTCTTCTGGCTCCTACCCAACTGTCTAGTCCCTGTCTCTTATACACATCTAGATGTGTATACATACATTGTCGTGAGTCCAAATTGCCTGGTGATCAATTGTTACATTATTTTAAGTATTTGTTTTTTTTATTTTTAATTGATAAATTTGTAAAGTGATGATATAATTGCTTTATTTTTATTTACTCATTCAGAGTTAAACTCCCTCAATTTCTGAACTATTCCCTTGCTGAGAGTCAGGTTCTCAGTTATTATTAGAAAATGTAATAATAGAACTGTTCCATATTCATAAAGGACCAAGACAAAGGAATGGGAAGACTAGGGAATAACATTAACATCCACACACTGTGTACTGTGCTCTGTGCTTGATGCTTTGCCCCCAGTGATAATTTCTTCATACAGTGCAATGTAGTTTGTAAGCTGGTTTTATATCCATGAGATCTCAAGTACTCTCGGCCTTATAGGACAGATGTAGATCCAGTTTTGTTTTTGTTTTTGTTTTCACAATTTTATAAGAGTACAAGTGATGCTATTTTATTTGAAGCCTGAGAGCTTCTGGTTCCATAACCAGAAATTGCTACCTGGCTCTTCTAATGGGATGAGGGATTTTCCAAGCTTAGACCATGCAACTCTGAACGTGCTCTGAATCTCAAACCTTTCTATTCACAGAACAAATGCTCAAGTGCTTTCAGGAGTTTTTCTGTAGATTAGGTTTATTAGCACCAACTTCATGACTTCTAAAATGTGACTGCTTTCATGTCCAGATAGCTTGAATACAGGTATCTACCAGTGATATGGGGTGGATGATGAATAATGCTTGGCTACATAAAGTCAGTGTTGTTTATTTTTCAAAACTTTTTTTTTTACCAATTATATTCTTCCCTTCTCCCCAGGAGGTGGGCAGAACAGCATTGGTAATCTCCTTTTACAGATGAGGAAAAACAAGATCAGAGGTGCTAAGTGCTGTACCTTGTTCCAGGTCTTCTGTCCCAATTCTGGGTTCTCCCCAAGCCCATGTTTCTCCTTTCTCACAATCTTTACTTCTTCCTCTGACCCTCAGCACCACCCAAAATACTTTTAATTCTGGAAAAGAAAATCAGCTGCACACTGGTACACTTGACCTTCATGCAGTCAGAAGCTTTGGATGATTCTGCATGCAAAATATTAGAGATGAAATGAAAGCAAAGTAGGCAACTGATAAAAGTTGCTTTTTCCCTTCTGCATTTTAGGACCTCAAGTAATGTTTATCCAGAAACTGCTGTCATACCATAGATTCATTGTATATTTAACAACATAGGCATACAATCTGGCAAATTAAAAACCTCTTAACCTACACCCTGAATCCCTGCCCAAATTTAAGAAAAGAACTAGGGTGGACACAGTGTTTTTTCCATGTCGCGTCTTCTGTGATGGAGCTACAGTATGTGGGAGCAGAGAATGGGGTGGGTGGGTGGAGCGTGTGCCAGATGAGGATCTATCAGCAATGGGAGGGGCTCTCCACATTAGCATCTCCACCCTGCTCCTCTCAGAGGACCGCCTTCCATTGCATTCAGCTGTGATGGTAGCAAGAACACAGGCACACCGAGGACAAGGAGTGAGGGAGCCTTGTGCTCTCTCTCTGCATGTGAGGCAGGACAGCACAGGGTATGGAGCAGCCTGCAGAGAGGCCAGCTCATCAGGTCATCATGGTAGCACTTGTCTTCCACCTTGAGCTTTGACTGAGCACTGGGCAACTGGCCCCTGGGGATCAATGGAATAATCCTAAGCAGACTTACTCTGTGTCACACTATGGAATGTTCCAAGTAGGTGGCCATGTTTTCAAAAGATGTCTTTTTCTCCTTTCGTTGTTGCCATTTCATAGGTTTAGGATTGGGTGTGTTTCTCCTCTCTGAATGGCACTCGAATGTTTGCTGACTCCTACTCCGTGTGACTGGGGCGTACAGCTGTGGACTGATGCATGCTGTCCCATCATCTTTCATGATCAAAGCAGTCTCTTCTTTTTTCACAGCTGAAGAAGCATCTGTAGGGAATCCAGAAGGAGCGTTCATGAAGGTGTTACA